TTTCTGTAAAGAGGTAGAGTGAGCTATAGGTTTAGAAGCTAGAACGTTGGTATTGTGGAGCAAAATAGCCTTTTAACTACGAATGAAAGAATCCATAAATAGATGCCAGTTTTCTTGTTCATAAACATCTTTCTTCAAACTATTAATAAGCCCAGGAATGTCGTTGCAGAAAACCAGCTCATTCGCCTCGTCCTTACTAAAAAATTGGTTTAAGTTCTTGCTCCATATTCCTATACATTGTTATTTTCGTCCTTTTTTCTAAAATATTCTTCTGCTTTAATATTGATGTCATAAGTTCATGGGCCTCTTTTTATAAGCCCAATTCTGCCGAAATAACTTAAATCAGCATGATTAAATTATCGTGGTACTCTGCTTTTCTTTTCATGCTTACTGTAACTCCAACTATTACTTTTACTCTCACATCCTCTTTCACTTCTATTCATTCTTTTGTCCTCTTCGCTTGTCTGCATTTCTACTACTCCAGTAGCCTTTACCGTTTTGGCACCTTTTACATTACTACGATTGCTCTCATAGTATCTGTTTGGACGGCCAGGTTTGCTTAAAACCGTGGCTGCATGCACAACGGTAGAAGTATCGGCATATTCAATATTTGAAAGAGTTTTGGAGCTAAAACCAAGTGTTCGTCATGCAAAAATAACAATCCTTCCGTGAAATCGGCTCACTCCAAATAACTGGTGCTTTGTACTTCAAATGCAATCTATCTTTTTTGTTGTGACATATCATCAACATTTTATGACATGTTCCGCAGATAGTATGCGGTACCCAATTTGCTGTCTGATTTTTTATTTCTGAAGTGTAACAGTACCTGTGTGCATGAATTACTTGTTGATTTATTCTTCTTCGATTTTTTGTTGGTTGATTTTTACCACAAACGTAGCAGAATGTATCAGGTTTAGACAGATTATCATGGATGTGTGGGCACGAACATCTTTCTGTTGTTTTACGTCTCGTCGTTTTAGACTTCGGAGAGGCCGACGTACCCACCTCTACAAAGCTGCAGTCGTATGATGATGATGCCTGCGGGCCCGCTTTTCCACCCTCACCAGTCACCGATACTGGGGATCCAACCCCCGCATTGTAAAATTTTTTTGTTTGCCTGCCATGCCGATATCTAAACCGTTATCCAGGGACTCCGCCGAATAGCAGGACAACTTCATTGCCCGCCGTCACCACGAGGAGGTGCCCTGGATGTAGGCAAACAAATACAAATTTTTTTTCGCAGCGTGTTGTTATTTTTGGCCCATTAATTTAAATTATTTAAAAAACGAATGTAATAAATTAATTTAAATGTGATATTTATTTTCAGTGCGGTCAATTTTACATTATTTTTTTTTATTGTGGTCTTCCAGCTGGATTTAAGGTTTTTTCCGTTACTATCGTTATTTGTTGCCCATTTTTTTAAGTTGGACAATGTTCAAGAAGTAACTAGAAATAACAAGTGAATTAAGATGCCAGATTTAGTTTCAGCGTGATTGAGTAGAAGCATTTTTATAGGTCAGGTGTTAGAGCTGACTTTTTTTATTTGTTTTTTTTTTTTAATTTGGTCATTTTTAGCTTGTTTTTGGAGGTCAAAAAATAAACTAGACGTTAATGGTCAATTTAGATTCCAGATTTAGTTTTAGCGTGGTCGATTACGTATAGTTACATAGGTCAGAACTCACGGGTAGTTTTTTTTTTTTTTTTTTTTTCGTGGAACTGTGGTATGGACCAAAAAAGTAAAACTGAAAAGATGTATTAAAAAGTTTGGCTCTAATTTTTCGATCTAGTGCCGTGTTTGGTCTGAAAAAGTCTTACCCTTTGAGAGAATGTGAAAGGAAAAGTGAGCTAAGAAATATATTCAGGTAAGCATCAGGTTACAGAGTGGAAAAAAGCTAAAAACCAAGTTTGAGTATAGATGGTTACAAACTTTTGCTGTTGATTTATGTCTTCGTACATACATACATACATGGACTTTTGGAAAGCAATGGATTCAAAAATTGTCAAGTAGTATTGTAAAAAAAAACCAAAAATAAAACTTTTTAAGTAAATACTTCGATAACTTTTCGAGTAACATCAGGTTTTCGTGTATAGTCATACATCCATAAGTATACTTAGAAAATACTATTCGAAACCCAATTTTTAATTTTTAAAGCTTTATTCTCGTGAAAGCTTATAATACTCATGTTAAGTATTGTATCGTAAAAAACTTATTTTTTATTGTGTATAAAAAAAAAATTTTCAAGGAATTTTTTTTACGTTTTTGCCTTTTTTATATCAATCGCAATTTTATAGTAGACCAAAGTGTGTACAAAAAAGTTTCATACCAAAGAAAATTCCAAATTTTGTCGACCACCTAAAAGTATTAAACGAATGAGATTATTGTAGTTGTCAAAATATTCATATTTTTTGTTTTATTTAGTTACATTTCTTTTAATTTATTAAATGCGAAGCTTATCTCAACAAAGTAAATAAAAATTTTAAGACAGTTGTATGTTTTTGAAATGAACAACTTTATTCTTGCTACAAGAAGTGTGTGGCTCTAATTTCTTAAGCAATGCCAATAAAACTAACTTTTTCAACTGTTAAATATTTGCTTTCTGCTCCTAACGACACTAAGAAAAATTTTTTTTCGCATTTCTATAAGTATCTAAATAATGCGTTTTGTTGAGACAAATAATTTTCTTGACTGTGTATAAGCTTAAAAATTATTTTTTTTTTAAGTGGCAAATCGTGAGTCTTTAATAAAATTGGTCAAGTTTTAAACTGTCAAATTTTAGTATAAGAACAAAGATCCAAGACGAATTTCAGCCGAATCAGATGTTAAGATCTGAAGAAAGTCAATTAAGAGGTCTTCATAAGTTTATACAATTGTATGTTGATTTTACCATTCAATGGGGATCCATTGGAATACCCATAAATCATGTTTCAAACAAAAATATACCATTGAGGAATGGTTACATTTTTGACTCTGGGAAAAATATCAGACAGTTCTGTGGAGCAATCGTGACTAAAATATATGTTTTTTTTTAAGCCGATTTCATCTCATTCATATAGTTTAATATTTTTACTAAATAGTTTTACATAGATAAATAAAAATTCAATTTCATGATTTCTTTTCTACATAAGAAACCAATATTACTTTGAAAAGATGTATGCTTCATAATATTAAAATAATTTTACACCTACTCGAAAGACGAGTATAAATTTCATCTTATTCATACAGTTTTATAAGCGTAAGTGTAAAATTATTTTAATATTATGAAGCATACATCTTTTCAAAGTAATATTGATTTTTAAGGTAGAAAAGAAATCATAAAATTAAATTTTTTTTTTCATCTATGTGAAACTATTTAGTAAAAAATTTTAAAGTTCTTAAGCTATTACAAAAAAAAATACTATTTTCGTGATTCTCTAGGAAAAAATAGTTTATTACATACTTTTGTTACAGTCTAAGTTTCATGTATATACGGCATGTTTTTGGCATGCATATTTTTGAGTGTAAATGTTTAAACACCTTCCATCTTATTTGATAAGAATATAAGAAGATGATAGTAAAATTTTGTCTCATACTATGATACATAATATTTTCTCTTGAAATTATAATGTAGCATTATAGTTTTCTTTGTTTTTTTTTCGAAAATAGTATCAATATATATATGTTGTAGCAACATTTGTAATATCAATTTTTCTGAACATGTCAATTCTAATGAATTTTAAGTTAACCATCTTTATGTAAAATGACTTGTACTTTCTAAGTATATTAAACGTGTTTGTTTTATTCCTATTAGAGTTCTTCTAAGAAAATAACAGCATTTTTACCTCTATTTATAGTATCATAATAAAAGGTCTAACGATTAGGTGAATGAGATATGAGAATAGTTAAATTTTTTATATTGCCTAGACAATCTAGTTTCTTGTAGAGAACGATTTTTTTATAAAGGACTAAGCTGTACATGTTTTGTATAAATCAAACAGATAAAAATAATAAGTTCCAAATAAGTCATTCGATTTAGCTAAATCTTGAAAAACATTACCTTGCCATAAAAATTTATACGCAAATACAACGGTAGTGGGAGGAAAAAAGTATTGTTGAGGGAGGAAGTCAACGCGCGCATCATACTATGCATGTGGGTAAGCTTACAGACACATCATCTAACACTTTTAAGCCTTCTAGTGGATAATTTGAAGTTTCGATAAAATTTTTGTATTTTAAACGTACATACATGTTTTTAAATGGCTTAATACTAAATTATTGTTAAAAACAATTGAAACACGGATTTACAGTTTTGCTTAAAGTTACAAATATACTTATTTAAACTATGACTGTTCGTAGAATCTTTGCATGAATCTATTACGAATTTATACTTGGCAACCTCAGTAATGTTATAAATTTTTTAGGAAACTTTAAATTTTGGTGTAAATCTTAAAATTTATTCTATAACTTACGTAAACCTTACTAAATAAGAAAATTAAAAAAGAACAGTACTAAGAATTCCGTTCGTCTTAACGTTTTTACTTCTAGTGCATATACAAATTTCCATATATATATATATATATATATGTATATATATGTACGTGTGTGTATGTGTATGTATACATATGTTATTGTATAACAAAACTTTTGTTACACTTAACGGAGTGCTATATAATAATTTGTACGTTATATTGAGTGACTGTAATCTGTAGTGAATAAATGTTTAAAAGTGACAAATTTAACTACACCTTTGAAAACTACAGTATTATACAAATATTGTACTTAAAGCTATATTAACTTGTTTCATAGAAAATTATTTAAAACTTTATAACGTAGCCATTTTGTTGGCAGTTCTCAGCTGCAGAAATATCGAAAAAGTCCAACACCACGGAAGTAAAAGAAGAAGGTTCAAAAGAGAAAAAACAAACAATAAATAGTCAAAACATTATAGTTTTTTCTCTGTTTTGCAATAGTGCAGTATAAAAAAACAATGCGATTCGGGAGGGGGATTAACCCCCTCTCGTAACTAAAACCAAACGTCAAGATTTCCCGCATAGAATTTATAGAAAAATGGGGGCTGACCCCTGTCCTCAAACCGAGGCAGGACTTACGCCCCCACCGAAATGGTGCAGAGGATCATGGAGACTTGAGGTATATAGTGTTTTCAAAACCTTGAAATTAATAAGGTTGCTACAACCTCAAATGCATCTATGTTCGAATTGTTTGAGCATGTTTGATATGATTTTTTCTCCATATTTGGAAAATAATGATAGATTTTATACGTATCTAGACAGTATCGCAGATCTGATTAACTATTCTTATTATAGACGAACATGTGTTCTCCAAAGCAGCTCATACAATGTTTTTACCTATTAATAATTTTATACTTATATACAACGATAATTACATAAACGTTCTATAAAATTAGAAAAAAATATTCTTTGTTACTTAAAAGGTCCAAAGAATAGCTTGCAAAGAATGTAGAAAGATTTACAAAGATCATTATTAAACAACTATTTCTCAAACACACAAACAAAGCACGCCTTAAAGTACCAAGTATTAAATCAACTATAACGGATTATGTGATGATTGCTCATATTCAGCATCAGTATTATAACAACTACAATATTGTTTGAAAACTAAATGAACAGGCTCCAAAAAAAATAAGTTATCTGTCAATTTGTTTTTAGACTATAGCTTATAGTTTGTCTATCATGTATAAAAAATACTTGGAAAAGTAACAATAAGAGAGTTTTTAAAAGTATACATGGAAAGACAGTGTGTTAAATTTTTTTTAAATATCTTACGAGTTTTTATCATCTAGGGCTTTTTACATTAGGTAAAATAAATGAGTGATCCTTTTATTTATAATAGTTAGCTGATACATCTAACATGTCATTTCAATCAGGTATAACTAACTGATAAAAATGCACTTCGATAAAAAATGTGAAATTTTTACTTGCAGCTTCCTGAGACGCGTCATAATTAATGATTTTCGAAAAGATCGTATCATAGACAAAAAAATAGAATCCTTTTTTTAAAATTTCATATGGTACAAGTGTATGAGGTCAAAATGAAAAAATTTACTTTAATGTGGACTTCATGTATTATTTATCTCCTTAAATTATTGTATTGTGCATCTAAGATTTAATATAGCTGGAAAATTATCATTGCAATCGCTTAATGGGTCAAAAAAGCTCTGAAGCATTAGTTCAGCATAACACGTACAGCCTACATGATGTAAGCACTAGTAATTTCGGAACAACCTAAAAAAATGTTGTCTAATAAGTTTGACTGATGTATCGAGCAATTTGACTACCTGATAAAATTTAAGTCAGTTTATAATAATATTTTGTACTTGAGATATCTCTAAGCCAAGAAATTAAGTAAAAGTATTTTGTTTACTTTGCATGGGTTTGGTTAGAGGATTGACTTAAATATTTCTTTTACTTAAATATTTTAAGAGAACTAACAGTCTTATTTAAATGAAAATTTTTGAATGGACTAAATAGTTTTGAGTAACCTTACGATAGTAAAAGTGAGTTACATAGTCTTAATAAAACAACAAAAAATAACTACAAAAGTTAAATTAACAATGATCACCTTACTTAGCATGTAAAAATCAGTTAAACATATTTGTTTGTCACGAAAATCACTTAGCCAAAAGAGGACACATAAAAGTAGAAAAAAAAATTTATTTATTTTCAGAAATAATTTTGTGTAAATTATAGTAAAAGTTTAAATACCATCTATTATGAAAGTCTAAAAAAAATTGAAATTAGTGAGAATATGTATTAAAACTTTATTTTGGAAGCCGTTCTAATTTATTGACTTTTATGTAGCTCATAAAATTAAATTATTAAGAAATAGTAAAAAAAAAAAANTTGATAAGCAAAAAAACTTGTCAGATGAACGTGTATAAAAGCTTATGAAAACTAACCTTTATTTAAGATTTACCTGTGTTTTGCCCAATCTTTTTCTGTAAAAATGAAATTAAAATAATCTCAATTTTTAAGACAGATTTAAAAATGTTATGTCATTTGATTAGCTGTCAAATTTTTTTTAGATTCACTTTTACAAAAGCAAAGGCATCTATAATAATTTTTTGTTGAACTTGAATATGCTTGAATAAGCATTTAAGTCTTTAAAATTATAATTTGCAATAATAATTGAAGCCCATTTCAGCTTGAAAAAGAGTTATTAGTGGTCGTAATACGTTTTTAGAAAAAGAATTGAAGAAAGATGTTATGGTACTTATAATAGAATTACGTTTTGAAATCGATTTTTAAGGTCATACTTTATAAGATAAACTGCAGCTCTATATTCTTGTTTACAACTACGATATTTTATTGAGTCTGAGATAAACATGCTTATTCTTTTTTAATTTTTTCGTTTGCTACATAGATTAGGAAGATCGTAGAAATAATAATAACTATAATTCATTCAGAAGTTTTACCTTTTTTCTACAGATTTGTATATGAATTAAGTAAACATTGTGTATTTTTACTACACTGCATGATTTGAAAGGTGCGTAACAAGTCTTTATATACGTCAGATAGATAACAATATAGATTGATAAAGTTAAGGGGATTACAATAGTAATTTTATGGCATTTCATTTAACCATGTCAGTCGCATCTGATTTGCTACGGATGTTTTATTTTTCACTCGTCCATCACGTAAAACTCATTGACAAAATTTCTCTATTTCCATGGTTATCACATACCTACTAAGCTTCTGTCACCTATCTATTGAAAAATACATCCATGAGATGGCACGGGCATTTCACACCATAGCTAGTTACCTAGCATATGGTTAACGCATATGCATGCATGAGATTAATCCAATTAAAACAATCCAATTAATGCATAACTAAGTATTCTAGCCTACACTATATAAATTTAAAGACAGCATTACATTAAAGTTGTAAGTCAAAAAATGTTTTCAACGGTATGAATTGCCGTATTTAAGATTAATCTTGAAATATTCTTATTTTTCTAACGCATACAAACATGCTAGTCTGAAAAAAAATACTTATGAAAACTGCGTCACTTTTATCTACGCTGTATTGAATAATTAATCTGAATCATACAACGTAATTTTTTTTACAAACATTTCAAAAACTTTTAACATTCTATTGAAATAATATCTTTCCTGCCAAATAATCTAAAAGGATAAAAACGAAGACAAAAAGGTTTTTGAAAAAAAGCACAAACTTATATATACTATGGTACAAAACATTATAAGACATTTTGGAGCACATTTTAATACAATTAGATATTTTAAAGTATTAGTTCTAATCGCTTAATCAATTAGGAATGACAATATGAGTAGTACAATCAACAGAAAATAGCAGTTTTTATAACCAGGGCACAAAATACTATCAATTAGATTAAAAGGTACGACCAAAATATTATTATGCCTAAGTTGCAAAAGACTTTTTTTTAGTGTGAGCACAAAGTACAGCTTTGCGCTCATGCTCACTTTACCCCCTAAGGCAAAAAAGTTCTTTGTGGGTAATTGAAGTTGTTTAAGGGTATATTCTGAATTATACTGTAAGCCCATAGATACTATCACGGATGTGGCTTTCTCCAGTCAAGCCAGCGCCCGTGTGTATATATTGAAGCCAATCAATTAACTTGTCCCTTATGATACTGTCATGGATAGCAAGCTAGTAATTGTACACTATGAAACGGTTTTATGTATGATAGATAGTTAAGTTTGCAATGCTATAACAGATACATCTTCTGCACATCGTTGTTACTTATGTTAGGCAACATTTAAGGACTTCAATGAGATTGATTCAATTTTCAAAAAGCCAATTGATAAAAAAAATTTGAATTTCGGTTTGTCAACTTCATGTACTTGGATTAGATGTTTTAACTGATGTATACATATTGGCTATAAATTGGCTATTAATAAGTGGCAGGCTCGCAGTACTGAAGAAAAACAGTAAAGCTAAGAAAAGAAAATATTCAGAAAGGTTTCAAAACAAAGTTGGGTTTTATAGTTGATAAACCGAAGCCTGGATACGGAAGTTCAAATGATGGCAACACCACTGGACTTTTTTTTTAAAATAGTGAGACTTCTGCAACCATAACTGGAAATGATAAGGATCTGATTCATCAATTATACGTTATATAATTAGCTTAATCATCTGGTTTTGATATAAATGTTCAGAAATTCAATCAGTTTTCATCGGAAACAGCGAGAAAGTACGTAGTTCTTTCCAGCTGGTATCCCATGCCTACAACAGTTTATACATTATTAATTTATGCTCCTGTAATAATATCGCATTCAGTATTAACAATTATTCAGATGTCATAAGATGCCCAGGAATCTTGCAATAAAATAATTAAACAATTCCGTGAACATTTTGCACGAAAATGTTCTCGAACTAAAACATTACAAGATGTATTTTTTAAATTCTTGGTAAACTCTGACCCGCACTTGTCTAGTTGTCGAGATTTACCAGCAAAATAATTAAAACCTATGTCAAAAGAAGTTGTTGATCTGCTGTTACCACCACAAGTACAAATTGATGAAAATTTTCTACACGATGAAGATTCAAGCTCTGAATGTTCGACATCAGCAGATACAGATATAACTTTCACTTGCATTCAAAGTGATTTTCTTGTGTAATTCTTGGAAAATAAGAAATTTTACAACAATTTCATTTCTAACAAATATTTCTTTACTTCCCTAATGCACAGTACTTGCCAGACTAATGAAAAAAAAATATGAAAAATTTTTTTGATTCTGATTTGCCACTTATTATTTAACAAATATAAGAAATTTTCCAAAATTTTAAGCCGTATTTAACAGTTTTCTATAATTCTGATGAAGGATTCGTAATCAGCGACATCTAAAAACCCGAGTGAAATGTTTAAATATCATTTACAGAAGTTTTTCTCTCCTTGAAAAGGTTATGTTTACCACATTGAGTACGACATTCTGAAAATCACAATTCTGATACCAGGTTCGTAATCAGCCACCCCGAAAACCTTAAAACTGTTGTGTGACTCAAGTACGATGTGAAATATGGGATATTTTATGCAAGGGGGTGGTGAATTAGGGGTGAAGGGGGTGAAATTTAGGAGGTCCAACATAAAATTCGTAATCAACGACCTCAAAAGCCACTGAATAAGAAAT